GCATGTCTACCAGTAGCAGCTTAAAAATCGAAGACAAAATCGAGGTGAGGCTCTTCAAGAAAATGAAGTAGATATTGACAGGTTAGTAAGATATGCTTATCCAACAGCTCCTAAAGACATAATGGAACAGTTGGCTGTTCAAACATTTATTGATGGTCTTCGTGATCATCAAATGCAGAGAACACTGAGATTAGCTCGTCACAAGTCGATGTCTTGTCCGTCACCCTCGAATATGAATCAGCTACGCAGGCCTCTGGATGAAAAAGTAAAGTTAGGACTGTAAAAGAGGAGGAAGATGAAGACAAACTTGAGCAGCTTGTTAATATAATGAAAATAATCACCTACAAGAAAATGAAGACCATAAGGTCCTGGAATTGTGGTGAAATGAGACACGTACGAAGTTCACCCTATAAGACGTGTTCATTTCGGTCGGCACTCCCAAGTGCCACACGTCATTTTTTTTAAATACTCGTCTTGTATACGTACTTCGTTGAATAGGGGAGCCTAGTTTTTTTTTTAAATAACTGCACAATGTTTTAGCTAATAAACAGATAGAACAACGTTTTCAAATTTCAATTACCATTTTTTTTCTTATATCGAAAGTTCAGCTAAAGACGACAAGTACAAGTTTCATATAACCAGCGCTTAGAAAAAATACATTGTAACCAGTCATCTTTTTTACATGTTTAGCGATAGTTCTCGTTGGGTATATTTTGTGGAATATTCAATTATCACAACTTTTACAGTGCTTTTTTATTCTACTGTATACATAATATAAAATATTATACTCGTACTGCCGGAGATTCATTTGATGCAAGTCGATTTTGCGTGACGCTCTTGAGTGAGAAATCAACAGCTGGCGAAGGTCTACAACCCTGTGCGTTTATTCTCCATAAGAATAGCATTCTCCTATCGAAGTCGTACTGCACTCTAAGTGTGAATTTGACTATAAACAGGTAGCTTGAACGGTCCGTGACTTCAACACATCGCTGTTAGAATGGGGAGTAGTAGCGTAGCGAGCGGGATGACGTAACTTAGTACCTTAGTACTTAGATTTTTAAGTACCGGATTATGATACGAGCGAATGGTCGGTTCATCCTTTATGTTATTTGGAGTTCCAGGATGGTTTCCGACCATCGCTCTGGAGGAGGAACGAAGGTTCTTCGATTCCATCCCCTTTCGCTCGTGGAGTTATGTATCCTCAGCGAGAAGTCACCGGGGACTCTGTTGTCAACAAGGTATATTTGTCTTACATGAAATATTGATTATAATAGTATTCTATGCACGGTGGAAGTCTCGAATATCACAGAGATGCCGCCGGCCGGGCCGCTCAAGCTTCACCGTGTAACGTTTTCACTCCCCGAGGTATAGGACCGTCGGCAGAGTGTTGGCTCTTCGACCAGCTCTGAATTGCGGAATAATTGTAAGTCTTTTGGGGTCTTTTATTTATTTTCGCAATCACACTCGATATCGAAGGGCTCACTCCGTATCGCCACCTCTCGTGAAACAATTCCAAGTCTCGTATGGACCTTTATTTATTTCCAACGAATGGTTTGGAGACGAAGTGCTGCTTCAGCTCGTCCATCGATTAATGGGTAATTTTAAGTCCACTCGGGCTTTTATTTACTCCTAACCGTCGGTGGTTATCGGAACACTGTGGCAGTTCGACACAATCCGAAATAGTTTTAAGGCAATTTTTTTGTCTTTTCTCTATTTATTTTCTCTGCCTCGACAAGAGATAGTCGAACAGAAGTCGTGAGACCTCGTGTTTATTCAAACACTTAAAGAGCTGTAAAGCCTTCTTCGAAGTGAAGTCTTCGTAGTTGGATGGGGAATTTCACATAGGTCAGAAATAAAACTCATAAGTTTCTTGAAAAGGCTACTCAGCCAAATAGGTCTTGCTTGACGGTATCAAGGTGTAGACTGACTTCATCCCGATCGGAAGATACGCTCCATGTTTGCATTTGTTGACTGCATGTTCGCAGCGATCTTCCGTCGGAAGACCAATACAAATGCAGTTAATAAAACCCTTTTTCATTGGCCAGCCATTGTGACAATCTTTGTTGTGATCCGTCCACTCTGGCGATAGTCTACACTAATGTATGTTTTTACGTTTAATATACCATCCTGGTAACGTTTCTCGACACGTATATATTATAATCTATTGGTTCCTTAATATATGTTTAGATGGGTCTTAGGGAGATTGTAGCAAGATCTACGTTTATATAAATATTATGTAGTTATTATTGACTTATTATTTGTACTGGTCAAATCTATTAATCATATATTACCACTAGTAACAGGCTCATTAAAATCAGATTTTTATTCATTCGAAAAAAGTTTTTAGACACAAAGTAAATTAATGTATAATGAGTAATTACATATTTATTTTTAGATCGTTGTTTGCTAATTGATGCTTAATCACTTGTAAACAAACTGCTATTTGCTGTCATACAATGGACCTACAAGAAATTTTTTGTACTGTTTAGTAAAAAATGACGCTGTATAGATAGTAATATGAAGTAGGTCCGCTGGATCTTTGCAAATTTTTATCATTCGTATTATAGGAATAAAACCAAAACATGTAAGAAAAACTTACGTCGCTTATAAGAATTAGAAAATGGTTATAATTAAGATGAACGTCTTTATACTTCTTTTTTATTCTATTTATTGCATTTTGAAAACTGGATATACATTTAATATAAATATTTAAACAGTAGTAATCAGAAATAAAGTGTTTTCATAAGCAAAAATATGGGTTATGATTTAAAAAACTTATAGCATTCTACCTCACGACTCTATCGTTTTGACCATTCTGTTTATTCAGTATTTTAACTACGGTTTTCAGAATTAATTAATGGGTTTGATTTTACTATTGTTAAGGAGATTGATGGATTCAAGATCGAAGATATTTGAGCCACACAACGGATACAATTCATACAAACATTAACACAACAAAATTGAGAAAAAGAGCCAATGTAAAATAAATTGAAAAATATAAAACTTTTGAGCTGGGTAAAAAAATAATTGATAAAATGAAAGGCAGATATCGAGCACCGTTTTATTAATTAAATTTTGGGCTATCCATCAATTACAGAATGTCATAGACTTAAAATTAAACATACAATTGAACATAACACTACACTAAACAAGTTGGTCGGCAACAGGAGAAAGAATTCATTCTTTCATTTTGTCAAAGTTCATTTATTCGAGCATTCAACTTTATATAAAAAAATTATTTTAAATATTTATTTAAGCATGTTATTATATCATAAATTTAAGATTTGTCCACTGTCAGAATCTGAACTATATTACCAGTTTCTACTGTGAATGGTTGAATGTTAATGTCAACCGTATTTTTGTCACCGATATAAATTCACTTTTTATTAATTTCTTGAGGATGTCTCACACATTTTCCCCAAATATCTGTGTTACATTTTTTCCAAATTTATAACAGCACTGTCAGAATGTCCACCTCTATCACTATACTTACTGCAATTCATAATTTAGAGGACAAAAACAAAATGCGAGATTATAGAAGGATTTCAAATATTATTAATAAAAAGTTATAAACGGGTGTCCCAAATATAAAATAAACATTTTTTCTTAGAATAGCTCTTAAAAAAATTAAAAGAGAACATCGTAAGTCAAAAAATGGTAACACAAAAAAAGTAAAAACTAATTTGTTGCCCCTCGACCCCCAACAAAGTAGTCTGTGAGTTCAGTTAGTATAGTGTATGACCTCCACGGTTGTTGATTACTGTCCTACATCTGTAAGGCAAATTCATGAGCAGATGGTCAATGTCTTGCTGCGTTCTTCTGTTCCACTCCATTGAAAGGCTCTCAAACAGTTGCTGTCTTTTATTGAACGCAAGTCTTGTTTGCCCAATATGTCCCATACATGCTCATTTGGGTTTAACTCTGGCGATTGTGCAGGCCATGGTAAAACCTCAATTTCATTATCTTCAAGGAATGTTCGCACGACCCTGGCAGTATGCGGACGAGCATTGTCGTGCACTAATTGAAATTGGGGACCAGCTTGTTGTGCAAAGGGTACAACAATAGGCTCGAGAATAATATTGTGGTAGTCTGTTGCATTTAGGAACCATGTCAGACAAACGAAATTGATTCTTTCACCAAGAGTAATGCCACCCCACACCATTATACTGCCGCCTTGCTGTACCTGCACTGCTTAAAATATGTGTTAATTATATTTATGTTGCCTTCTACAATAGCTTGGGCGTTCTCCATGTTTCTTGTATACCTAAAATCATGTCATCTGCATAAATAAATTTGCTTGAGGTTCTAGTGAGAGCATCTGAGGTGTAAATATTAAACAAGAGCGGCACTAGAACTGACCCTTGGGGTAAGCCATTCTTTAAACTTTCGAATTTCCTAGTTTTTCCATTATAATTTAAATTTGAAATAATCTGTCGCACTGCATTTAATTTACTAGGTTATTAAATAATTGGCATGATACCATCTAGTACAATTTAAACAGTAGGCCTTCTTTCCATACCGTGTCGTAAGCTCAAGTTAGATCAATGAAAGTTACTGCCATTTTTGTTTTTTTTTGGACGCTATTTTCAATAAATGTTGTTAGTGAAAGAACTTGATCACTGCAGTTCCTTCCTAACATAAATCCAGCTTGTTCTATGGAAATATTTTCGCTGACAGATTGCAAAAGCCTCGCGTAGATTATCCTATCAAAAATCTTAAAACAGACACTTCTGGAGATTGGTCTCTAACTCTCTGGTAGCTTGCAGATTGCGATGACTTTACTTTGCTGGAATAGTTTAGGGAGCTTTTGCGTTGTCATTATCTGGTTGAAGAAATCTAGGAGCCACTTTCGTGTTTTCGAACAGTGTGTTTTATAAACTCGGGAAATATTTTGTCAACCCCTGCGGCTTAATTATTACCTCATGATTGGCAGGCTTTGCTGATGTGCGGTTTTCATTATTTTTGAGCTAATATCGTACATCTCTTTTATGAAATTTTCTATGGTTAGTTTGGAGAGCTGGGCAATGCGTTTCGTTATATCTTCTGGGTTTGGTGATGAAGAGTTAGTTGTCAGGATATTAGGGCCTGTTTCCAGTTTTCTGAGTAGCCTCTAGGCGTGAATTTAAGGTTTTCGAGTCTTTCCACCTAGTGGTTCTTGCAGAATTCAAAGACTAGAAGTTTTTCTTGTCTAGCATGGAATGGATTTGGTTAGAGCGTAGAATGTGTTTTTTAGCACAGCTAATTATAAGTTTAGTAAATTTTTGTAGTTTTCTACCTTAGGCTCAATATGTCTGTTATGATTCTATAATTGGGCTTGATACTTATTCCAGTTTGCCTTAAGAAAACTCCGTCTAGGCAGAAGAATTGAGTTTATAATGGGAATAGTAATGCCCATACCATAATTGTTATTACTGGCCTATGCTGCAGTTATGGTAATCGTCTTTGGTGGATATAAATGTTATATCTGTGTTGTAGCTTTTTTGCTATCTAGCGGAAAAAAGGTAGGCTACTGTTTTGCATCGTGCAAAAGTCCAAGATGCGCATATTGAATTACTTGTTCACCTTGGAGTGAACAGTAAGAACCAAAGTGAGCTTTGCGCTCTACTTTATAACTATTTTGTTACTGTATATATGTTTGTTACTAAATAACTTTTAACACATGGTTTTACGAAGGTATTAAGTTGGTTTTCATATTATTACTTGATATCAAAATGTATATCACGCAAACGATTTACATTCATCACACGATTATATTTTTCAGATTACCTATCCAGATTTTTACACCAACTCTTGCTGCAGTCATCCAATAGCGGACTTTCCATTAGAAGCCGAAGAGGAAAATGCCACTGGAATAAAGAGAGCAGCTGTTCGCCGACTAAATTACGAACTTGGCATCCCACTTGAAAGCCTACCACTCGACAGTCTCAATTATATCACTAGAATTCACTACAAGGACGAAGGGAATGGCAAATGGGGCGAACACGAAATAGATTATGTGATTTTCATACAAGCTGATGTTAAAATCAAACCGAATCCGAACGAAATATCAGAAATTAGCTTTGTTCCCAGAACGGAATTGGACGAGTATATTCATACTCTAAGCGGTCCTTTAACTCCATGGTTTCAGCTTATTTTAAAACACCGACTTAAGCTTTGGTGGGATAATTTAGAAAATCTAGACGAATTTAAGAACTATGAGAAAATACTTCAATTAAAAGCGTAGATAAATATAAATTTGAATAATTTTGTGTGGCATTTTGTTAAATTTTAAAATTTTATGGCATTTATTTCTTGTAGCTTTAAACTGTTTCAAACAGTATTATATTCAGATTAGATCTGACATGTATTTAAAAAAGCAAGTAAGTTTGTTACTAATACTACAAAGCAAAATCTATAATTTATATCTAATAAGTCTTATCCGATCTTCCAATCAGAAGTTTTACAATTTTCATAAAGTAAAAATTTCGACGAGATATACCCATTTCATGAAGGTAGACGCGTACTTTACCTAACCGGCCAGCAACAGCCCGAAAGTAAATTATTGATGGATTCGACGGTTACTTGATGGAAATTCATTTTATGTAACAATAAAACACTGAAAACTTTGTTTTCAAACTTCCACAAAATTTATTTTAAATATTATCACTACAGCCGTTTTGGCTGATTGCCTTTCTCAAGTACTTGAGAAAGGCAATCAGCCAAAACAGCTGTAGTGATAATATTTAAAATAAATTTTGTGGAAGTTTGAAAACAAAGTTTTCAGTGTTTTATTGTTACGAAAGTAAATTCTTTAAAGTACATTTAACGGCAAATTGACCAACTTTATTCACTGGATTTACATATTTCTTGAAAGATAGATCTAAAAATTATTATCGTTAGTTTGTAGTGTGAAAGAGAGGAACAACCAATTAAGGTATGAACATAATGCTGCGATTAATCGGTGCGTCGAAATGAATGAAATGTGTAAAAAGCGGAACATGGAAAGTAAATTTGCTTCTTTATTTAATAATAAATTTATCAATCACAAAGACAAATTTTCGACATCAATACTTCAGAATGATTTACGATTTTTCCCAAGAACTCTTAATCTATTGTAAAAACTGATCTTACAAAAAATACAACGGTTTTTTCGGTTGAGGTCGGTGTCTGACGATGTGTTTTGTTTCCGTAAACTGCGTGCTTATTCATTTGACTACACAAAGACATTAAATTACCGATCCTCGTGGTGCGTTCCATTGTCGGACGGTTCGGTCAAGTGTGCGCGTACCGTTAACATGTACATATTTCTACGATCATCCACCGGCAGCTTTTAAACGCGTATTCATATTTTGTATATCATAATACGTATAATCTTTTTATCAAAACCAAATGTTTAAATAAATTTGATATTTAATTTAAACATTTTGAACTTCAGAAATCATCATTTTATTGTTAAAAAGAAAATAATTTTAGTAAACACATTGTTGTTGTTTTTCTAAATAGTTGTATAATTTTTAAGATTTGGAGGTAGCAAGTACAATTAAGATTCTAATTAATATAATTAACAAAATATATTTTTAATATCTCATAATTGGAATATCTCCGTTTCTAGATGAAAAAGAAATAAACGTGTTTTTTAAATGTTAATTATTAAATAAATGAATATTTTTAAATAATATTACATATTGTTTTATTGTTCAGTCATAAAAATTATATATTCTTCAGATTGATCATATTTTGCAGCGAAGTTTTTAATTTGAACTTTGACGAACAGAAGTTATACAGTTGAGTCCATAGTTCTTTACCCGTGCGTCATCATTTATAAAGCATACGAAATAAGTCTTAAATTTACTACACATAACACCAAGTGACAGAAAGTAGCTACTGCTCCGATCGCGGATTATATTATAAAAATATATTATATTTAAAATGTTGGTGCAGAATTATAGCTACATTTGAGTAAAGCTTAATAATAGTATATTACATAACGAGAGTTGTAAGAAGCTTATAACATGCGAGTAAAAAAGTGGCGCGCGAGCCGCGTAGCGGCGAGCGCAGTAATTTTACAAGCATGTAATAAGCTTACAACTCAAGTTGTGTACTATACTTTTTCTACGATTATTTTCATTTATAAAAATAAAAAGTATAACAAGTAACTTTTATTTATTTAACAAAATTCGGGAACAATTTAAATTAAACATTATTTACTAGTAAATTGTATATTACCTACTATTTGGATTGACTAGCACCTAATAAAAAAAATAACGCTTCAGTTCTATAAAAATGTGTAATATCACATAAGCCTTGTAAGTCAGTTGGTCGAGTTAACATGGAAACGAATTAACAGATGTTATTTTGACAGATTAAAAATTATTAATCTGTCAGTGTAAATATAGTGGTAATTTAAATACAGATAAATAAAACGAGTTCATCGAATAGTGAAGATGAATTTAGTAGCACACCACCCAATATTATGCAGTTAGCTGCGAACACTAGCGAGAACCTATTACCAGAAAAATCTAGAGAAAGATATGAAATATCTTCCTCTAGATTTTTCGTTGTACGCCAATTTATGGATTGGCGTACAACAAATAATGTAAATTCATTTTCTGAAAACGTACTCTTGGCTTATTTTGGACAAATCGCTAAGAAATTTAAACCATCCTCATTATGGGCAATATATTATATGCTAATGAGTGTTATAACTTTGAAAAATAATGTTAATATTGAAAATTGCCGAAATTGCGAGCTTATCTAAAAAGGCAATCAGAAGGTTTTAAAAACAAAAAATCTAAAATTTTACATCCTGATGAAATAAAACTTTTTTTAAATGGAGCTCCTGATGTACAGTACTTGTTAATAAAGGTATGTTATTTAAAAGTATAACATAAATGTTACTTTAATAATAAATACTTTTATTTTAAAATTATTGCAAGTATTGGAATATATGGAGCTTGTAGGAAAAAAGAGTTAAAAATTTTTAAAATTTGTGACATTGATGATTTAAGTGCCATGTTATTGGTTAAAATTCCTGATACGAAAACCAAAATATGTAGATTTTTTGTTATTTCCGTAAATTTGTATAAAATTTACAACCAATATATAGAAATTCGACTACAGATTAGCGATCCGCAAATAAATCAATTTTTTCTTAACCCATTAGCTGCCATGATCCCCATTTGGGGATTTCGCTTTTTGTACCGTTTGGCAACTACGCATATTATGAAACTCTGTTAGTTTAGGTTATGTTTTGTTCCTTGAACATTCACGTGTGTGGTTTTGTTGGTTTACGATATTTTGGTGGCGTAAATATTGAAATATTTAGCTTTTTGTGAAAATTTGTGGCTGGTAAGTTGACCTTTTTACATACCTATATTTTCATTATTATTTTTTGATAGATAAGTTTTGACAAGAGTTTTTTGTTTATAAAGTGTGGATAGACTAGAGTCTTAAGCATACAAAAAAGATACAGCCACACAAAAAATAATAAAAATGTGGCTGTAGGGTCCTTTTGTGTTCCGATACCCAAATGGGGACCATGGCACATGTAATATTTTTTTCTTTTTTTTTAGATTATGAGTTCCAAACCTTTCCGCTCCTTGAAAGAGCTTGAGGCTTACATAGATGATCCAGAAAATCATGTCTACATTGATGAAAGTGAATATACCCATATCGACATCGTTGAACTTCCACCAGACCGCGTAGACTGCGTGACAGATTCTGAGGATCTAGATGAGGATGTCTTAGGTGATTCCGTTCCCCTAGACCTTCCAGGAGATATTGAGCTTCACGGCCTCACGGATGTTAAAAAGATACCCCAATCTGATCAGCCGCAGCCCAGCTGTTCTACTTCAAAACGGGTAAGATCGAAAACAACTGCCCAAGCGCCCAAGAGATCTAAAATTGCTACCAGTCAACCTCCAGCCTGGAAAAAGGTAGAAAAAGCCAATTTTAGTGTATTAGCTGATCCAAATGAAGCTCAATCGGCATGCGATATCCGTCGGCAAAAAATTAAAGATGAAATTCGCGGTAAATCACCAGCCGAAGTTTTTGAGTTATTCTTTGATGAAGAACTAATGACCTATATTGTTAGGCAAAGTGTGATTTATGCAGCCCAGAACAACAGGCATGAGTTCACTTTTTCTGTAAATTGTCTGAGAAAGTTTCTAGGCATACTCATATTGACTGGATATCATTCTCTCCCACAAGAACAAATGTATTGGTCAGAAGACGAAGATTTAAATGTCCAAATTGTAAGAACATGTATGTCTAGAAATCGCTACCTAGAAATAAAACGAAACATACATTTCAATGACAATTCACTTATACCTGTCAAGCCGGAAGAGCATGATAAGCTCTATAAAATAAGACCCATCATAGACAGGTTCAATAAATTATGCATGAGATTTGGAGTTTTCAGTAGCAACCTGAGTATTGATGAGCAAATGGTGCGGTATTTTGGTCATCATTACCTGAAACAATTTATCAGGGGAAAGCCCATTCGATTTGGTTTCAAACAATGGGCGATGTGCTGCTCAGAGACAGGTTTCTGTTTCGATACCGAGGTATACGAAGGTAAAAAAGCCGATACTGCTGCCAGTGTTAGTCTAGGATCTTCTGTAATCTTGAAAAAAATGGAGGTTATCGAAAATCCCTCTGAGCATTGTTTCTACTTTGATAACTTTTTTACCAGCTATGAACTTATGAGAGAGCTATCTGATAAGAAGGTCTGCGCTTCTGGAACAGTGCGCAGTAACCGAATGGGCCGTTGTCCTTTGACATCTGACAATGAGGTAAAAAAAGAGAAGCGGGGATTTTTTGATTACCGTTTTGACCAAACAAACAATATATTTGCGGTAGTGTGGAAAGACAATAGCTGTGTCAAACTCCTGTCAAATCATGAAGAGGTCCTGCCAATAGCCAAAGTCGCTAGATGGTCGCGAACGGAAAAAAAAGAAATACTTTTGCCTCAGCCCAATGTTATAGCTAAGTACAATAAATATATGGGGGGAGTAGACAAATTAGATTGGAATATCCAAAAATATAGAATTAAAATTAGAGCAAAGCGATGGTATTTCCCCTTATTTACAAACGTTATTGATATGGCTCTAGTAAATGCTCACGCAGTCTACTCTATTGCAAATGGTAGTGTTCCATTACTTGATTTCAGGAGAGCTGTAGCCAAAGCTCTTTTAAGGGTGAATTCACTTTCAGACCCAAAAAAGCTTGGAAGACCATCTTTAAAAATGAAATCTCAAAAACGTGTGCCTGAACCAGTGAGACGAGATCCAGTTGGACATTATCTTGAAAGGACTCCCGAAGGCAAGCAAAGGAAATGTGCGGTCTGCAAATCGAATGTAAGAAAACAGTGTTCTAAATGTAATGTTGGTTTACATGTAGAATGTGTAGTTGCTTGGCATTCAAACTAATTGCTTTTTGTCAATATTTTGTAATAAAAATATACCTTGCACTAACCTTGTACTTATGTTATTATTAAGCATAGTATATGCCATGATCCCCAATTGGGGATCCACGATAAAAAACGTCAAAAAATGACAGATTTTATAAATACATACCAATGGAGTCTATTTTTGTCAAATAATTATACATCAGTATTCAAAAAATCGATATTAGCAAGAAAAGAAAAATTGGCAGTTAATGGGTTAATTATCTAAGAGGTAAATGTACGAAACAGGTGGTAGGAATAAACAAAATAGGCGGTGTTCCTAAACAAATAGCCGAATATTTAAAGTTACCAGATTCCTAAATATACACAGGTCACTGTTAAGACGAACTTCTGCCACTATTTTGGTAGATACCGATGGTGATTTAATGGCTCTTAAACGACATGGCGGATGGAAATCTTCAACAACAACGGCCGAAGGATATGTCGATGAGTCAATAAATAATAAGACGTCAACAGCCAATAGAATTATAAATTTGATTGAAAGTAATTTACAGACCTTTACATACACTGAAAATACCAATGTGAGTTGTAAGCTTATTATTATGCCTGAGCACATTATATTACATGCTTGTAAAATTACTGCGCTCGCCGCTACAATTTTTTTACTCACATGTAATAAGCTTCTTACAACTCTCGTTATGTAATATAATATTAATATCATTTGTGATAAATAAATAAATAATTTATAAAAAAATATATAATTAAATACCTATACAATAATATTTACAGTGTGTTGATGTTGTAGGTACCAGTAACATTATATAACATTAAAGAATGAAAAATTATTTAGCTCAAATAATACTGTTGCAAGATTTTGAACGTGATTTTTGTTTCTTGGTTTTTTACCAAGTTTAGTTTAGGAAAAATACAAATAAGCAGAAAAACCTATTAAAATTTATTTGTTTATTGAATATATGACATTACAAACTGTGACTATATGGTAACAATAGGTCAAAATATTATAAGATTTACTCTTTATGAAATATGGCAAAGCAATCAATGCAGAGTCCAATATCGCATTTGTCACACTGCGTACGTCCTACCGAGCAGCACCCTTCTCCTGCGCACCGCCGTCGTTTTTTGTTAGGAACAGGTAAGTATAATGAGGTGGTTAATACCACCATCGTCCCTAATGGCTCCTCTACACATCGGTAGAAGCGTCCGCGGACGACATCTACGTATGCATCTGGAGATGTGTAGATGGGGAAATATGGTCATCTGTTGTTTATATATCACGTCCGCGGATTTCAGAATGTGAACGTTCTACTTGTTGAATAGGATGCACACCATATGAAGTTGATGCCATTGTTACAACGGCGTTATCCATCCATCTTATCAACTTAACACCATCTTCCTTGTCAATTTTTGAAACCAAATAACCTTGAGTTTGTTTGTACACAGCTTTTTTATTGACAAGTGGAACATCTTGTGGTATTCTGTTCTCTCTTATTGTTCCTGTGACACCATATTCTTTTTTCTTTTAAACACACCATTAAGTTGAATCCATTAAAAAGGTTGTCTTCATAGATTTGGTTGTGTCAAAGTGTCCTACATCGAGACAAGGGGAGCGGCTGCCTTGCTTTTGAATTGAAGCTTTTTTATATTACACGTTTATCAAAACGTCTTAATCTACCGCACTCAATAGTTTATTAGAGCAAAATTTTGTATTCCTGTGTTCAACTTTAAAATACCAACAGTGGCCCTTATAGATATATCTATATTATGCATAATTTTTAACTTATTATAAAAGGTTTATTTTTCAGTTTAATATCTCGTTTATTTAATATTACTCAAAATGTTCACAGATTAGGTGGTTCTAAAAGTAAAACGATCCCAAATTTTGCGAACCTGACGAGGTTAGTGTGGGTTCCATGGCACCCGCTGTGGCTACTCCCAAGGTGCTCTGCTTTTTAATCATCGGCTCACTAAATCCCCCTATAGCGTCTTCAATTCTGAAATGTAATCGCTTCACGTTGTATTGGAATAAAGTAAAATGATGTGGTATTTTAAGGTATTGTTGTACGCATGCATTGTTTCAAAATGTCTGCTAGTCGTTTTTCAAGGAAATCTCAAAACTGTTTACTCTTTCAGTACCAAAATTTTATAGTTCTGTAAATTGTTTTACAGAACGCGGTTGTTAATTTAGTTTTGCTGTTATTTTTGTAATTATATTTTACATTAAATATTGTTTTATGAAATTATTTTTGAAATTAAATAAATTTGTATTTATATATTTTTGTTTTTATTATAGAAAAAAAAGCGGGATGTGGTACTCGGAAGGGACCGAGTAGGAGAAGCATAACTTTCTTATTGTCTAACTAAGCAGGGAGCTATGGTTTTAATTAATTTAATTTACTGAAGCGAAGCTTCTATACTGGCGTTGTATTATTTTATTTTTTTCTATAGTAAAATGCTGAGGCGAGCGTCATGGAACTAGTGCCACAAGATGGTATCGTCACAAAATAGCAATTCTTCACCGGCATCCGAGGACAAGTGATGATGAAATATGTGGGGGCTTTTGACCTTGTTGTGCTAAACACAGCCCTGGAGTCCACGTCTGTGAGAGGTGATTCGGGAACATACATCGATGTCACCTGCGCTACGCAGGCAACAGCACGATGCGTGAAAGATTGGGTTGTGTTGCGAGATTACACTGATACATACCTTAGGTTCATTGGCTTTACGATAGCCGGAGCGAAGCAAGCAAGAGGGTCCTCGGCGAGAGTGTCTAGGAACCAAGGAAACCGCCAGGTTGACTGATCGTATATGAGGGGAGGTGGAAGGCGTCCGGGACCAACCTCGTACGAATGAGAAGTCGAAGATAGGGAGAAACAGCGAGTGAGAGTACAAAGCTCGGAATAGGACGATCCGAGCCTTGAAGAAGAGGCACTGGAGGGATCTGTGTAGCAAGTTGGACGAGCACCTCTGTTGAGAGGGTTATAAAATCGTAATAAGGCATTTCAAAGCGTGTCGTCCGTACATGTTGCTGGACGAGAAGCTCAAGGCTGTCCGAGAATTTATTCCCGCCCGGGGCTTGGCACGGCTTGTGAATGGACGTGAATGCGGATCGAGGTATGCTCTTCTCCCCAGAGGAACTTGCGTCGGAGTCCCTTAAGTTGTGCAAGGCTCCCTGTATAGACAGAATACCGCCTGAGGCGTAAGTGTTTCCGGAATCTTGGAAAATGTCGAGACTCACACTCCTACTTAAAGGGGCTGAAAAGTATCGGCCTGTTTGTCTTCTTTCGAGCATAAGCAAGCTGTATGAGAGGATGTTGCGTGAACGAATCGAAGGGATGATTGAGAGGTCTGGGGATTGTCCCCAAGGCAGTATGGATTTTGCAAGGTATAGTAGATGCGGTGATGAGGAGTATTCCGGGCGGTGCACGAGAGGGGAGACCGCAACAAGTGGGCCCTTCTATTCCACTTCGACGTCCGAAACTCTTTTAATATTTTGTGCTGGGTCCTCTAGCGGCGAGGAACTGTCCGGCATATTTGAAAAATATCGTCTCGGATTATCTGTCCCAAAAGGAAAATAATGGTTGAGAGAGGCGTGATTGTAGACGTTAGTGCTGGGGTGCACAAGTGGCCGCCTTTGGCTCGATACTGTGGAATCTGGCATACGACGGGATCGTGGATTGCGAATTTGGAGAGGGGTTTACCCCCACCTCTGTGCAATCCATCGCTCCATCAGTAGCTCTCGTTAGAGAGCTATGCTTTCAATAAAAAGCATGTTAAGAGCGAATAAGGGTAAGTGACCACTGAAAAATTGTTCACTTAAAAGATGTAATTAATAACTAATAAAACATTAAAAAAACTATTTAATAATAAAATTTACATATTGTTATACATACAATTCAACTGTTTTATGATCTGGTTATTATAACCTTCTAGAACTGGTTTTCCCGATTTATATATGCATTTTTCAAATAGATATTGCAATGGTGTTTGATACCAAACATTCTTAACGCTTGTATTACTTAAATCCAACGTGTTGAGCTGCAGCACACCTAAATGAAAAAATCGGCCATCTGTTTGCACACATTGCACAGTTACTGGATTCTTTAAAACTGTTGCGTCCTTCTGTAAATAAAGGAATATTAGAACATTTATTTCAAATAAATAATTATACAGTAAAGTAGAAGTTTAATACGGTCAATAAGGTTGATGAGTGATTATACTCAGCAGTCGGTGTACCCTACAAATCTATTAAAAATGTATACGAAGATGTTACAATAGTGTCACCACAAAAAAGTAAATTTTGTGATATGTATGGAGATAATGACATCCTAGGATCGAAATTGGGTCGATAGAAAACCTAAATATTCTAGAATCTAAACGCAATAATCTGCAATAGCAATTACCTCTCATTAAAAATTGCATGTATAAAAGTTATTTTAAGTTTCAAAATTAATTCTACAGGAAAGTCAATGATGCCTCACTCTTCAGTATTTTTGCTAATATCATCATGGAAGACTTCGAAACCTGAGCACTAACATCATTAATGCTAAAAACCCATATGTTGAAGATACACTCATTTGAGCACAAGAATCCTTTGGTACCTTTTAAATGCATCTAAATGGTATAAACTTTAGCATCCAATTTTCAATGGAGGCTGATTTATTTTTACCATTCCTAGACAATATTGAACTTTTTCTTGGACACTATAGTAAGCACGTAATTTCGTTGGAAAATTTACGGGAACAAGAGAGAGCAAGACACTAGCATATTTCATCTAATAATAAAAATACCTAATTTTAAATTAAATAAAAGTTATTATTTTGCAAGTGTAAATGATTTAGATTTTAAGTGTAAATGGAACAGTCGCACGTCTTCAAATTATGTGGGCATCAGTAAATATTTTATTTTACCAAAAAGTTTAATTTTTTATAAAGTTTAAATAAAATATATTAGTGTTATCAACTTCTTATATACCTAGGTAGTAATAACACTAATTGATTTTTCACGATCTAGCCGGAAGGCATGGGGATTGCTACGTAGACTAGGTGGAGCCGTTAGAGAGAAACGCTTGAACAAGAACAGTATCGATCCGAAAAGGATAGCTAACAGAATAGTTGAAGTATCGCGTGCCCCCTCTGACAAAATCCATACGACGTCTACAAAAAAAGCTCTAAAAAAGGCAAAGCGGCAGGTTTCGATGGAATGTATCCTGAGTTCCTAATTCACTGTGGTCCAAAAACGCGACACTGGCTCAAAGACTTTTTTAGTGACATAATGAAGACATCTGTACTACCTCCAGAGTTCAAAAGAACCAAAGTTATTGCAATTTTAAAACCTGGAAAGGACGGTGAACTACCCGAAAACTATCGACCCATTGCCCTCCTCAGTTGCTGCTACAAACTACTAGAGCGACTTATATATAACAGGATATACCCAATCACCGACACTGTGATACCAGTCGAACAGGCCGGATTTAGAAGCGGGCGTAGCTGTAGTGATCAAGTACTGTCCTTAACGACATTTATTGAAGCCGGTTTCGAAAAACGGGAAAAAACAGCCGTAACGTTTATAGATCTGACGGCTGCATATGACACTGTGTGGAGAGAAGGCCTGATCTACAAGCTAATGAAGGTCATACCATGCCTGAAAACCTGCCAACTAATCAATAACCTCCTAACCAACAGACTGTTTCAAGTATATATAAACGATACAAAGAGCAATATCAGAAAGCTAAATAATGGCCTCTCACAGGGTTCAGTACTTGCTCCACTATTATTTAACATTTACACAGCCGATCTTCCAGAGACAAAATCAAAAAAATTTGCTTACGCAGATGACCTGGCTATCGCATTTCAAAACCAAGCCAAAGATGTTGGAGAAAGGGCGCTTACCGAAGACTTAAGGGTTTTCTGCGACTACTTTAAACAATGGCGACTTCGCCCTAATACCAACAAAACTGAGACAAGCCTCTTCCATCTCACAAATCAGCTTTCGAATGACACCCTTAGCATCACCTTCAATGGCGAGACTTTGAAACATAATAACAACCCTAAATACCTGGTGATCTACAAGCTAATGAAGGTCATACCATGCCTGAAAACCTGCCAACTAATCAATAACCTCCTAACCAACAGACTGTTTCAAGTATATATAAACGATACAAAGAGCAATATCAGAAAGCTAAATAATGGCCTCCCACAGGGTTCAGTGCTTGCTCCACTATTATTTAACATTTACACAGCCGATCTTCCAGAGACAAAATCAAAAAAATTTGCTTACGCAGATGACCTGGCTATCGCATTTCAAAACCAAGCCAAAGATGTTGGAGAAAGGGCGCTTACCGAAGACTTAAGGGTTCTCTGCGACTACTTTAAACAATGGCGACTTCGCCCTAATACCAACAAAACTGAGACAAGCCTCTTCCATCTCACAAATCAGCTTTCGAATGACACCCTTAGCATCACCTTCAATGGCGAGACTTTGAAACATAATAACAACCCTAAATACCTGGGTGTAACGCTCGACATATCACTGACGTTCAAAACCCATCTTACGAATGTAGCTGCCAAAGTGAGAACCCGTAACAACATAATAACAAAGCTTGCTGGAACGACATGGGGTGCCACTGCGGATACACTTCGAACCTCCTCACTGGCCCTGGTGTATTCTGTCGCTGAATACTGCGCACCGGTATGGCTAAATAGCGCTCATGTCAACAAGATTGATGTTCAACTAAATTACACTATGAGAGTAATATCTGGTACTATTAAATCAACTCCACTAAGATGGCTTCCAATTCTGAGCAATATAGCACCTCCAGATATTCGACGAACGGCAGCACTTGTCAGAGAATATCAGAAAATCATGGCAAATAATCGTCTGCCAATTCACCAGTATATTCCGCACGCCGCACGAGACCAACAAAGACTGAAGTCCAGACGACCCCCTGTCCAATCCGTTCAGGGAATGGGTGATAGCTACAATAAGCAAGAGCAGTGGACGAAAAGATGGATGCCAACAACAGAGCCAGACGTCATCAAAATAACAAGTACGTCGATCGGCTTCACTGGATCAAACCTGCAACGCCCTATATGGACAAAATTAAATCGCATACGCACGGGTCATGGCAAATGTGCCGATTCTCTATACCGATGGGGTCATGCAGAAAGCCCACAATGTGATTGTGGATCCCCGAGACAGACCATCCAACACATCATGGCGGATTGCCCAATCCGCAGATACAGCGGAGACCTTCAAGATTTTGCAGAATGTTCTCCTGGTGCAATTGAATGGCTGTGCAACCTGGACATTAATATTTAATATTTAACTTAGGTTACAATTCCAATTTGAACATAATTAATAATTATTATCTAAATACTACTTTTATCACATTGTAATTATCCATACGCTAAATAAAAATAAAATAACACTAATCGATTCGACCGAACAAAACTTATTGTAAAATAATAATACCTATATAAAAAAAATGTTAATAACAGTACCATATGTTAATACCATACAATTAAAGAGTATGATCAAATATGTACGTTTTATTAACACAAATGCTCTTTAATAAGTATTAACACTTTCTATTTGATTCCTGATAACTTTTGTTATTGTAATCAGGAAAAAATAGAGAATTCATTTTTTAAATTAAATACAATATTTTATAATAACGTAACCAGTACTTTGACTATTTTATATTAAATACTTCTCTAAAGAAGTGTATGTTTACTCTATTTTTAAATATATATAAGAAAAACGATAATATCTACAATTACAATAAAAATAAAGGCTTCAACTAACACCTAATTAGAAATAAGCACTTGCTAATCTACTCAGAATCACTAGTATCACTCGTATCTTCTAACTTTATAGTTAGTTTGGTTAATGCTGGTAAATAGTTAACATAGTTATTTTCCACTCCGATTACATATTTGATTACATCTTTCCAATTGGTTGCTGTGATCTTTGTGAGTTCTCTTTTATTAACTGGAAAACAGTAGACGAAAATTTAGGAGCCACGTTTTCTCTCCTGATATTTCCTTTAAGTTGAGCCCATATTAACCCTATTGTGTTCAATGTACAATAATAAAGAGGAAGTCTAAGCACGGTATACCCATTACTGCGAGCACAGTTAACAACAACATATTCCTTCTGATACTTTCTACTATGAGCAACCTCCAACCATTGCTTTCTACTATATGACTCCTTAAAATACAAATCTTCCCCAAATAAAAATTCCTGAATTTGTAATTTATTCCAAGTAATATTCAGATGCCAAGAGCAGACAAACGTAGTATAGGAAGACCACCTACACGTTGGGCTGATAGCATCAGGCGTATCACGAAAAATTGGCAACAAAGAGCACAAAATCGCAAAGAATGGAGGAGTTTAAGGGATGGCTATGTTCAGTAGTGGACGTGATAAATGAAAGTTGGATGATGATGATGATGAATATTTGGAATATTTTTCATTAATCTTGAATGGTATAATGTGTTGTTCATAATAATCACACTATATTTAGGTAATTTCGGAAGAAAAGATTTTTCAATCCATGATTCAAAAATTGAACTTTTCCTATACTCATGATAATCTAGAGGCGCAACTTTATTTTTTTTTGCAGATATTAATAATACATCGTCCATCCATCCATTTTCTCCACTGCAGTGTAAAATTATTATTATCTGTCCTTTATTGGGCGGTACTAAATTAGAACACTTTTTGTTATTATTCGTCCAACTCCACATAACCAATATTTCGTTTCATTTATCGATACTCAGTTATCTGTCTGATATAATTGTTATAAAAAAAATATTCCAGTACTTTCCATTAGTGTCTGGCGTTTGTCTATTGTTTTGTACTTAAAATGATTGGCTTTAAGAAATATCCGAAGTATTGTTGCTGAATATGAGAGAATGTCCTTGGGAACCAATTCACTTCGAAGGCTTTCAATAGTTGAAAAAATATTGGCGGCATACATTCCTATAATCTTGTTATCTTTATTGTTATCTAAAAAAATATAAAACTTACAGTATGATACCTCTTGTTTGTCAACAGCTAGTTTCTCTGAGAAGAAAGGCAATGTTCATCACTTTGTTTTATCTCTAAAGGCTTCCACTTTCTGTGAATTGTTGTTTGGAATTATAAAGACCAAGAAATAATGAGTTAAAATCAAACTTTCTTTCAGTAGATTTTCTCCAATATCATTATTCTTTTTTATTTTTTTATTGCATAATTTAATTTACAATCTGCTTCATCGAAGCTATAAGTAAATAGTTTGAATGTTAAATACATGAGGGAGAAGCTGCCCTGTGGCAACTCTCCCATTATATTTTTTACATTAGATCATAATATATTTAATTTATTAAATCTGTTGGCCACTGTTTCTTCAGTCGTCTTGCAAATTCGGGAGGAGCGTTTAGCAGTCTTGCTTCATCATTTAGATGACTTCTCAGACCATCAAGGTAGCTCTTTGTGGTCCTTTGAATTTCTTCCTCTACCAAAGGTGTAGCTGAGTCCTCGTGTAGGGTTTTATTGCTTACATACCAGGGCGCGTTGAATATTATTCTCAATATTTTTGATTGGACTCTTTGTATTATCTTGATATTTGATGGCTTTGAGCAACCCCAGAGTTGAACGCCATAGGTCCAAATTGGTTTTATCATAGATTTATACAGGAGCAGTTTATTTTCAGTATTGAGTTTTGATTTTCGACCCATAAGCCAGCTCATTTGTCGTATTTTGATGTTGATCTGGGTTTTCTTGGCTTGAATGTGTGGCTTCCATGTTAATCTTTTGTCAAGGGTTAGTCCCAAATATTTAACTTGTGTGCTGACTGGATCATTATTCTACATAGATAATTTGACAATCAGGTGACTTTTATCTCGCAATTGAAAAGCTCTCGTCAATAATAGACTCTACTAGAACTTTAAGTATACTTGAAGGTTATAATGTTGAAACATTAAAGCGTTTCAATAAAAAATAAATTTTTTAAACCAGAAAGTTAGTTTGATCTTTTCGATTTATTTTTCTCCTAAATACATTTTACTTGTCCTATACATACCCCATATCTCTGTCTCGCATAACTTCCTGCTGCGGCAAAGGTTTTCAGAAGTGATCTACCAAAAATCTGATTTTCTGTCACCTCTTCTTCATATAAATTTTTAACGGATTCTCTGTCAAAATATATAAACACTGTATGTGGATGTGAAGGCCTGACAGTTGGCTTTATGGCTAAAAATTAGAAAAATTGAAACATTTTCGTTTGTCATAATCTCACAAAAACGTTAAAAATAAGGTTTCACTGCGTAAATATGTTGGAACTTGGTAAACTAGTTATTAATATTGCAAAAATTTAATACAGAAATATATATGATATAGTGTACTGTTAAGAATGGGAAATAACAAGATTCTTTGCTTCAAAATGACTTTCAACAAAATGAGCGTAGGTAACATTTTATTGTACATTTTATCTATATTTTTATTGAAATATCATATTTTAAGGAGATACAATAAAATACCGGAAGAATGAAGAACGGGCGAACTAATTCTACTATTCAAAAAAGGAGATAAAAAACAGTCAGAAAACTACAGAGGTATAAACTTGTTAAATACTACGCTAAAATTTACAACTAAAATTTTACAAGTGCTAATAAATCAGAGGATAAGTTTAGCAGATGAACAGGGTTTTCCTAGTGGAAGATTGTGTACAGAATATCGTGCCTAATTGGCCTAGAGAAAGCATTTGGCAGAGTAAGACTCAAAGATGTAATTCATTTTCTGTATAATAGAGAAGTTCCCCTAAATATAATAAAAACTATCGAAAACATCTACCAAAACAACAAAGTGGAAGTCAGAATATATGGACAACTTATAGAACCTATAGAAATAGGCAGCGGAATAAGACAAGGGGATTCATTGAGCCCCATGCTCTTCAATTTGAATGGGAAACAAAGAAATAAAAATAGATAGACAACATGATACTACAATATACAATAGTTAAAAATAGACAATGCATTATTGATAGCACAAGATGAAAACTAAAACAATAGCAGTCAGCAAAGAACCAACCAAATGTAAAAAAGAAATTGATGGCATCAGTATTAAATAAGTAATGGAAATAAAATTCCTGAGAATTACACTGTCTAGCTATGAAGTCAAGAATTTATAAAGCCAGTGTAAGACCAATAATGACATATGCCTCAGAAACAAGACCCGACACAGCCACAATGCAAAGGCTACTGGAAACGGCAGAGATGAGAGTACCGAGAAGAATTACAGGAAAAATGCTGAGAGATCGAAACGGACGTGAAGACTTTAGAAGAAAATTTAACATACAGTGTATAAATGAATGAACACAAAATAGAAAAAAAATAATGGAATAACCACACAAGCAGAATGGAGGAGATCCGTGTTGTCAAAATAGCAACAGATAAGTCACCAATCGGTAGAAGTATCGGAGAACCGCTCAAAAGATGGAGTGACAACCTTCCATAGAGGTATTAATCCGCCAATGAATAAGCAGAATTACTTATAAAGAGGAAGAAGATAATCCTCAGTTATTGTAGGTCCAATTCTTAATTACGCATCCTATAGGCCAATGAATCAACAAAAAATTAAATCCAGTGGTTATTTTCATTTTTTTTTTCAATTATTACGAAAGATTTGTTTTATGAATTGAATGGATGTATTTTGGAAGAATCTACAACTGTGCCAAATATTAGAACACTGTCTGTCTCTTCGCGAATAATAATTGCAAACAGGTGTTATTATGGTCTATCAAAGTACTTAGCTAACAAACGTCTGTCTCAAAAAACTCGTATAAGGCTGTATAGAACACTGATAGTCCCCGTTCTCACATACGGATCAGAGGCATGGACGCTAACAAAAACAGATGAATCCGCTCTATCCATTTTTGAAAGAAAGGTGCTACACAAGATATTTGGAGCGGTCTGTGAGAACGGAATATGGAGGCGTAGATATAACTTCGAACTGCAGAACATCTACAAGCATACGTTTGGTGGTAAAGATATTACCACTATAATTAAGCGAAACCGCCTGCAGTGGGCAGGACATGTAGCCCGGGCGCCTGAATCGAACATGATAAAAAGGATTCTAACAGCGCAACCTGTGGGAATGAGACGACGGGGTAGACCAAAGCTGAGGTGGATGGATGGGGTAACACAAGATGCGGAGAAGATCGGAGTCGGCAACTGGAAAATTCAAGCAAGGGACAGAACAGAATGGCGTAGAAAGCTTGAGAAGGTCGAGGCCCTCTAAGGGCTGTAGCACCAAGATGATGATGATGATGTCTGTCTCTTCAGATTAATAGTGCTGGTTAGAGGTAGTCCTTTCATATCTTTTATGAAACCATACTTACCATTTTTTAAAAATTATTTACTTCCAAATCATGTTCTTCTGAATTTAAAATGAACTGCATAACTGTATGTTATTAAGATTTATGTAATGTGCTGTTCCAATCTTGTTGGCATTATAAGAAAATTATATTTAAATTTAAATTAAATATTATTACTGAATTTTAATACTTACGATATATATCTCTTATTTTGTATATATTCTCCTTATTCAAAGTAATTAAAGGATCAACTGGATTAATGTTTGGTAATTTTAAGTGTTCTGTAGCTGAGTTTGTTATGGGTGACAAAGGTTTTTCTGAGGTAAGTACAAAATCTCCAGAAAGTTCCAGTTGTATTAAGTTTTCATTTCTTTGGAATGGAAATGAAAATAAAAGATCTTCAAATATATATCTTTGTTTTACTAATTGACGATCATTAATAGATTCTAAAAGCTTCATTAATCTATGGGTTATCAATTTACTAAAACAACAAATATTTATGTTTAAAAAAATATGATATAAATTTATTATTCACACTCACACTTCTTCATGAAAATAGCAAGCAATATCAAATATATATACACTCCTGGTCAAAAATATCCGGACACTTGCATGCAATTGCAATAAAAACGGTTCTTTTACTATTTTTAAACGATCGCGTCATCATGGAAATAAAATTTTGATATTTGGCAAAAAAAAATGATACTTTATCTTGTTTACTTGCCACAGATTTTTTGCATTTTTTATTGCGTTTACAAGTTTCACGTTTATTCCGATAAATTCAGATCATTGTTCATTAGTATATTCAAATCCTGTTAATATGACACCCGAAAATAATGCAAAAGTTGTGGCATTACATGAACATAGTTGCAGTCTACATTATATTGCAAATCATCTGAATATTGACAAAAGTACCATCCATGATGTTCTTATAAAGTACCGTCAGACTGAAGAATACACTAAAAGACCAGGATCAAACAGAAAAAGATACACATACAGAATCAGCCTGATTTTTAGAGGTTTTCACATTATGGAACCCCTCTTTAACCTCAAATATTCTTACTAGTCTTTTGTTAGAAACTCAATGAACTCATATTTCCACAAAAACTGTAAGAAGAGTCCTGCATGAAAATGGTTAAAGTTTTCATAAGCCAGTAACATGCCCAAATGAACATCGGCTCGTTGAGCTAACAAGACCAGTTTTACGAATGCTCACAGAGACTGGACTGTTCAGCAATGGAGTGTTGTAATGTTTATTGACGAGTCTCCTTTTTGGGTTACGATCTCCAGATGAATGTGAATGTGTATGGAGGAGATCTGGAGAATGATTTTCACCTTGCTGTATTTCACTCAGAATGCCATTTGGTGGCACAGGTGTTATGGTATGGGAAGATATTTCTTTCAACGGACACACTAAATTAATTTTCATTGAACATGTAACTCTTAACAGTAGACAAAAACATACTACTTTGTCTGGAGGACAATGTTGTTCCCTATACCGCTTTCGTTGGGGATAATTTCTTATAAATGCAGAATAATATGCATCCACATACTGTGTGAATCGTCATGGACTATCTAAATACTGATTGGCACGCTTATAGTCCAACATGAACATAAAATAAGAAAATCAATATATTCTACTGATTTATCACAAACTGACATATCACAAATAAGTTCATTTACAAAAGATACCATTAAAAAAAATAGCAGACTCACAAAGAGTTTCAGAAAGATGACAAAAAATATCAAGTAGGTATATCTAAAATTACTATAGGAGAGGACTATGATTAAATGACTATGTTTATGCTAAATTAGGTACATTTATAGATAGTAGAAAAAATAATTAAAACATTATTACAGAAAAATGAATAGCAGTATGGTAGGTGCCAGTTTTACAATTTTAGAAACTATGATAGTCAAGAACACTCATGAGTGACATGTATGTGAAGCAAATAAAAAATTGAAAGAACAGATTTTTATGATAGATCTGTATTTATATACACAGGGCAACCAGTGTCATAGTTTTTATATCATAGTGTAAGCATGGTTTATGATAAAAGGTTAAAAATATGAGTTATTAGATGTAATAATACAAGAAAAAATAAAAGGAAAAAGACTGTGATGGTTGAGAAATTTGAGGAAGTGGTTCCAATGCAGTTCAATTAGGCACCATTTCCAATTCATTATTTGGAGCACCACTGGATAAAATAAAATAGCCAGAATGATATCTGACCTCTGTTAGACCATACTTAGAAGAACCAGTAAATATGGGTGAAATGTTTAATTTAAATAATTGCTAATATGCCAAATAAATATATACATTCTAAAGCTAATATTTAAATAATGTAGTATATCTTACTTTCTTCTTTCTTGAGTAACACCATATACCCTAGGAAAATTCCATGCAGGTTTGGCAGGATTTTTAATTTTAGGCAATTTCTTCTGTTCAGCATCAAATAAATGTGAATCAAAAATTATATCTTTAGATGCTTTATCAACTTCTTTGGGCAAATTTTTAATTTCAAAACTATCGGGAAGTCCTTCTTGTAGTTGTACTGTATTTGTTATAATTTTAGCTTGATCAAGACCTTCCAACAATACACTATGGTCCCTATATGATAATAAAGGTTTTTCATTCCATTCTGGGTGTGTTTCATCTAAAGGTTTAGGTCGATCCTTAAAACCTATTACTTCAACTCTAAAAAACAAAAAAAAAACAATTAACTTCAGTTCAGTCATTTTATTAACTATTAATCAAATCGAATTTCTCTGTAAAGACTCAAATAATAAAAATTTGTAGAGGTAAAATTTGGCACAAAAGGTCTACTACTAGTGTTATACAGAGGGAGAATGTCACTCATCTATTCACCTAAACTATAATCGGGTATGCTGTCTATTTATTTCTTATTGATATCATTTGACTATTTTTTTTTTGGAATTAAGATGATTTAACTACATGAATCAGAGATCTGTTCTTGTGTTCTGCTAATGGATTTTACTTAGACTGACTACTAATTTAAATAAATAAAATCAGTACATACTTCTCAAATTCCCTCTTCTCGATTAGGAAGTCTTTTGAATCATATACAGGTATTTTTTTGCTCTTAAGAATTCTTTCAGCACCAGTATCCAAAGGTTTACGTTTTCCTTGGATAACCCAATGTTTATAAAAATGCCAACCAATGTGTTGTCGTAATAATACAGGGCTTTTCCTCATCTTTAAGTAATCCTAAATATTATTTTTAATCTACAAATTTCTAAAAAAAATAGTGAGGTTAACTTTTATTTCTTCTAGTACACTGGCGTCTTGTCTTAAAATATTATCTATCACACTTCTTGAATGGCTGCGTAGATTAGGTTATTTCAAAAATAATATTAAATAAATTACGTTTTTTCCAAAGTTAAGTTAATTTCCAAAAGCAAATTTTTAACTGAAATATCTGCGATAAATTGATTTTATTATAATTTTGTTAAAACCATTAAAACCTCAAACTCAATACCACAGTATAAATAACAATAGTTGTTGTCTATACTGTGTCAATACTCTTCGTGAGAGAAGAAAATGATTAAACGGGTTTATCCGATATTGTCCGAACGCGTAATGATTTAAAAAGCTAAATAAGAAAGGAAAACAAATCTGGACATCCCTGATAAATCTTAGTTATATGTAAAAACATAAACTCTACAAATATTTTAACAGGTAAACAGTAAATCTTATGTATTATATTAATAATAAATTGTTATTATTTTTAATTTCAGAAATTAATCAAATCAGTTATTTTTCAAAGCAGCAGAAATATGTATTGGAATGGCATACTCGTGTCTAGTTAAATATAAAAAGGTTAAATTGTGAACTATAAAGTAAGCCTTTTTGGCTATGAAAAGACAAAATGTACGTACCTTGTCTTTAGTTGTTTGCACCTTTACTTATTTACTGATAGGAGCAGCTGTATTTGATGCTTTAGAATCAAAGGAAGAAGAAAGGCGAGATGGGTTGCTTAAAGGTAAATATTGGATATATAGAGTGTGTTTCGTTGGTAAACGTGGATGTAACTAGTGTATATCGAGAGTTTTAAGTAACCTATAGGCCAGATTCTATGGATTTAAAACAAAATACAGAATTATGTATATATGTTGGATAGTCCTTAGTATTTCATCATTCATATGTATTAAGTATATATTTTTTATATTCTTCATACAATGACATTACGAAAGTTGATTTACTACAATGCACTTTTATTATTTTAGTATCATCAAATGCACTAAAAAGAAAATATAACATATCTGAGGAAGATTATCGTATGATTGAACTAGTTATTATTGAATATAAACCACATAAAGCAGGACCACAATGGAAATTTGCAGGAGCTTTTTATTTTGCCACTGTAGTTTTGGCGATGATTGGTTATGGCCACTCAACACCAGTAACTTCAGGAGGGAAAGCATTTTGTATAGGATATGCTGTGGTGAGACATAATAAATACAACATGAATTGATAATAAAATACATTTATATTATTATTATTTATTCAAAAAATATTTTATTAGGTGGTTATATCAATTATAGCTGTTATAGTATAGTGATAACTGTTTTAAAATGTCAGCTCATCTATACTGACAAAATATCTAACCAATCTTAAAATATTTCTTGTTTGCAGCAATACTGGCGTTATTGATTTCAAATATTTCGTTAGTTTTTCACATAACTTCTAAATTTTGAATTTTGAGGGTGATCATAAATTTTGTTCTCATATCTCCACAGAAAAAAATCATATATGGCTGTTAGCAGAATTAGATAACCAGTCAATTGTTTTTTTTATAGATAATATGATCTGTGCTCTGACTATATTATTTGACCCAAGAATTCTGTATAAACAAGTAACTAAGCAGTGAACTGTATGTGGAATAATAATTTTGCTAGGTTTGAGCAACTCTTCTGTTCATTTTCTGTGGGACAGTAAAGGACCATTGACAAAAGGAATAAAAGGTAGAGGGATTAAAATTAAGGATTTAATTATCTAAAAAATAGACAACACAAAAAGATGTTTGACTTTGAAAATTTTAAAATCAACAAACTTTTAAAATAATTAAAAATGAAATTATTTAAAGTAATAAGCTACTTGCATGTAAACCAAGTAGGTATACAAACAGCTGAGTTTCGCGCTACTGTGACTGCAGCCTAATATAACATCCAAGTTTTGACAAGACATGAATTAGCTGCTTTGAATGCTCTGAATGCCTTGACGTGTACCGCAACTATCACTATATGTTGTGTCTTCCTCGCACTAACGCCGAGTATATGTACCTGGTAAATTTATAGCTGGCGCTTGAACTTATCAATTCAATTGTTTCATTTTTCTATATCTGCTAATTTTTAAATTATTTACTGGCTAAAAATCTTTCAGAAATCGATATTTACCTAATATTAATACTCGATATAAAGTGGAAAATATTACATTTTAAAGCAAATTTAATGACTAAGCAATAATCTACTTATTCTGCTGAGCATAGTGTAAGGCTTACTTGCCCGATCCAGCCTGATTTAGAGTATGTTCTTTTTGACGCAATAAGTAAAAAAAAATAGAATATAGAGTCAAGGAAGAGTTGTCTAGTTTTTTAGCATGGGTCGATAGAATAAGACTGGTTGGCCGATATTTCGATTTTTCCGGGGATGAGTTTTGCGTTAGAGGGATAATGGGTTAATTTTTGGGAATTGGTTAATGTACCAATCAACAGCTATTAATTAGCAATAAAATATGTCGCCAAGATGGGCCCTATAAGCTATAAAGCCAGCTCTATAAAGTAGCGGAATGGGATGAGCTAAAAGGAGAATCTTAACCTATCACAAACAGATTATACTCAAGATAAAAGAAGATGCAAAGAAAAATGACAGAATTATTTTAAATATGTATATCGATATACATACTAAACGAAAAAAGAGCAGGCCAGAGGGTGCTACCCACAAGACAAAAATCAATTGATGAGGGATGTGGTAGAGCAACTAAAAACATTCAATAAAGAAGTAGAAAAAGAAATTAACAAAGAGAAAAAAGATGCTGGTATGTGAAAAACATTTGGGGAGTTGTTAGATATGAATTCTCCATGTCATCGCACCTTTCTCCCGTCCATTTTTCTTTGGATAATTTGATCTCTCTCTGAATTATCCATTGTAGATGTATATATTCTGTTTCATTTTATTTAATAAGTCGATCTTGTCCCATCAATTTCAAGATATCTCATGTCACGTTACTTTTATAATCATTGTTTGCACAAATTTCAGTAACTTTTAATGTTCTTTATTCTATTGTTGTTAAATTCTTGTTTAATAATATCTTTTATGCTCCACGAATGCTTTTTCTAACAGAAAAAAGCGGAATAATAACTTTTGGCCAAGAAATTCTTTCCTTGTCACATAATACAAATTTAATTCGAGAAATTTAACTTATTAACTGAAGAGCAAAATTCGAAGAAACTGATAAGACGGCTTTGGTTATATTTATGCTCCTTGACCTACCTTATTCAACTAGTAGGTAAGGACTCAGCTAAGTAATCAAGTTTGGAGACTTCAGTCTTGTATCTATTATTCGTATTTTTAATCATTGCTGCGTTTTTCATACTTTTTTTATTTGTTTTTTCAATGTTTTTGTCTTTTTCGTCTCCTTATGAAACATATAATAATTTATCATTCTGTAATATTTACTTTTAGGTCGGTATTCCCCTTGGCCTTGTTATGTTCCAGAGCATCGGTGAGAGGCTTAACAAGTTCGCTTCCATCGTAATCAGACAAATCAAAAAGTATTTAAGTTGCCAAAGGATAGAAGCCACCGAAATGAATTTAATGTTTGCTACTGGTATGCTCTCTTCCATTATTATCACAACTGGTGCAGCTGTTTTCTCTCGTTATGAAGGTTGGACTTATTTCGATAGTTTTTACTACTGTTTTGTAACATTAACTACTATCGGTTTTGGAGATTATGTAGCATTACAGGTAGGCAGAAAACAAGTTGAATGTATTTTATTTCTGGTCAATTTTGTGGTTATATTATATTTTATGATTCATTGCGTAGGTAGCTTATTCTATCGTATTTTTGTTTTAGAATGATAATGCCCTTATAGAAAGACCTGGATATGTTGCTCTAAGTTTAGTATTTATACTCTTCGGCTTGGCTGTTGTTGCTGCTAGTATTAATTTACTAGTTCTTCGTTTCATGACAATGTAAGTATTATATCTTTGTGTATATTATTGTAACATTCTGTATTATTACTAGAAAACTTTTTCGCTCTTTGCTCTAATTTCTTCTTAGTTTTTTTCTAGTAAAACACATCAACGTACATTAAATACCAAGCAGATTACCTTGGAATTATTCTTCTATCTGATCCACCACTAAAAAGAATTAATAAGCACTGAGCCCAGATGCATCACATGAATTGTATCACTTCTTCCTATACTTTTTTTTCGTCCCTTATGAGGGGGAGTGGTCCAAATATTCGAATCATATCTCGGTCCTAGAAGCTGGACATAACCGCCTTCCGGCATCGGTTATTCAGGATTCTCCCAGCGTGGCCACTATTATATCCGAGACCTCACGCAGGGGTTGCTCGGACACCATCCCTTATCACTTCTTTCTATCCTTTTTTTTTTCGTCTCTTATGAGGGGCAGTTGTCCAAATGTTCGAATAATATCTCGGTCCTAGTAGGTCGACAGAACCGCCTTTCGGCATCGGTTATGCAGGATTCTCCCAGCGTGGCCACTATGATATCCGCAACCGCACACAGGGGTTGTTCGGACACCATCGGAGGCAATGGAAGAGACCTACCTGCTAAAAACATCCTCCTCAACGATGAATTATCAACCGAACCGCCCTGATTGGGATGCAACGTTGGCAGGCATTCACCCACAACAATTCTCACTATGATTGACTCTCCCTCTCTTTTTTCCTGTTCATGTTCAATCGTGCCACTTCTAATTCTGCCTTATCTTCTTGCTTGCTCTTAGGACTCTGTCTCCCTTCGGGAGGCCTTTCTTCTTGTTCCTTTCTCTCCAATGTTCTCTTCACATATCTTTAAACTACTCTTCACTAATCTGACGACCTAAGTATCTCCTCCACTAGTTCTGTGGCTGAATGTACCCTACTTCCTAGCTCTTTCTCTGGTCTATCCATCTATAACATATCAATATAGTGTTTGAGACAGTGTTGTATATTTCACAGTACAGACATTTGTCATTTTCTGCCTTTCCAAATTGGTAAAGGTATGCCCTGAAGCAACCATGTCCTGTGGACATCTGCGTCAGAAAGTAAACGGCGATGCCGGCAGTATATCCATCTTCTCAGATTAGGAATCAGAAACTTCGTCCACTTCGCCAACTTTTTTATCTCGTGCCATGCCTCTTACCACACCAATACGGACCTTTTTTCTTTTTTAAAAGTTCTGTTGCTACGTCTTTATTTAATATCTCGTATATTCTTCCTCTTTCCTTCACTGGCACGTGCATCGGAATACACCGAGTAATGACTCCCAGCGCCCCGGCAAAGACTGTTCTGTATGCTTCTTCCTATACTAGGTATTGCCGTTACAATAGTTCCAACTCCCTCATTCACATCTATTACAATCATATACTCAGCTTAAACAAATTTGTTATTATTTTGTTGTGATTACTACAAAACTTTTCGAGACACTGTTTTAACTGTGCCAACGCCCACTATTTCTATTTTACTCTTTTAGGAACGCCGAAGATGTCAAACGGGATGAACAAGATCTACAGTCCTCGTCCCACCACGTTCTTACACTCGATGGAGATGTTATGGCAGTAAACGGAAAACTACTTCACCCGTTGATAGCAGAGGGAGAAATAGATCAAATGTCGGTATGTTCGTGCAATTGCTTGGGGCTGAATCACGGCGAAAACGAAGAGTTGCTGCTGGACGGAAGTTATTATCCTTCTCATACAGTTTTAAACTCGAATTTAAAAATCAAAAGAGCTTCAGTGTGACATTTTTAAAGAAACAGATTTCTTATATTTCTACCTAAACCGAATTTTTACAATTTTTACATTTTGCAATTTATTACCAAACTGTTACAAAGATACAATCAATATCGGTACTATTTACATGTAAAATATTTCTACACACCACTTATCTTTCTGCTAAATCAAAGTTAACTACAAGTATTTAAGAAATCAGGTTATAAGTTACACGAGTAAAACAAATCCACAAATCCTATAATATATATATATATATATATATATATATATATATATATAATATATATATATACATACATATATTATATATATATATATATATATATATATATATACATACATATATATATATATATATATATATATATATATATATATATATATATATATATATATATATATGTATAATAAGGATCACTCGAAGAGTGGTGGCTTTTTCGGTCAAAAATTGGAGAAAAAAGACAAAGATGATGGCTACTTCATCTATTTATTGAAAACGTTTCGCTATCCAATTTGATAGCATCATCAGTTCATCTAAAAAGAACAATATGAAAAACCTAACATCCAATGAAAAGTTATTAAGTATGTTACCTCAAAAAGATATGTAGCAGTCAATGATATTACAATTTTAAAGAAGCTTACAACGACAATGGACATTGTAAATTATGTTGTATAAACAATAAATTGAACTAAATATAGTTAACAATTTTCATAAAATTAGCACAGCAAAAGACATGTGGTAGTTGTACATGTATGTAAAAAAAATTTAAGTAAAAAATTTTATTATATAAAAAACACAATTAATGTGGAGAAGAACTAAAAGATCTAAGATACACTTCCAACAGTAAATCAGTCATTAAGATTTCATTTTGACTTTAGGTAGCATTATTCAAATGATTAATTAAAAAATTAGTAATTTAAAAGTAATAATGAAGTTACCACTGCGAGCTTGTCGACTGCTGCCGGTGAAATGAAGGCAACAGGTGTTAAACGTCAACGACGTGAAAAGACAGATGCCAATAGGTCAACGTCAAACAATATAGGTCAACGAGTGACAGAACTACAAGGCGTATTACTACCAACTCTAATACAATAGTGTTTTATTTAAAAAATATAACAAATTTGGTCGACAACCTGTCTGTGAAAACCAAAAAATGAAAGGAAAAAGGTGGTTGAGAACTCCATTTTCCCTCCAGTGAGAAGTTGCTAGATAGATAGATGAAGAAGCCATCATCTTTGTCTTTTTTCTCCAATTTTTGACCGAAAAACCCGCCACTCTTCGAGTGATCCTTATTTTATATTGGATTGACGGTCGTACTCATTTTCTCGATATATATTATATAACTGTTTTGGATGGGTTGGAGTCAATAAAAGGGCTATTTGTTAACTATTTTTTACTCGAGCTTTCAATTGTGTTTACAATAATTATCAAGAGCTGCTAAAAAATACAAAATATCTTACAAAGTTGAACTGAAAAGAAAAAATTTTTGCCAACTCACCAAATAAAATTAGTTTGGTATATAAAACTGCTGCTAACATATTACAAAAAGTATGAATATAAAAATGTTTTAATCTAATAAATGCTTCTCTGAAATTTTTATATAATTTTGAAAAAGTTTCTTAATACAAAAACAATTGAATTTATAAATAAATTTGAATATTGACAATTACAAATAAGCCTCAATGTCATAAAAACCAACTTAAAATTTTTTATTTTTGACAATTACATTGCCAAAAATACAATTTTGTTTAAAAATTCTTTTTTATTTAGTAACAAAAAAGAAGAAGATTTATTCACCATTGATAGATGCCTGAAGAAATGTAACAAATACATGGAAAATTAAATCAAAATGTGATATTTTACTGGTTTCATATATATAAACTACATAGAAATAATATAATTATAAATTTTGCTTAGATTTTGAATTTCTGACCTTTTGTTTAAATTATTATCACTTTTGCTAATACAAACTATTTCCAAAAAAGTTCTTTTGAATTTATTACTTTCACTACATAAAATTTTAATATTATCAAAATTCATAATATTTATGGTCTTTGTCTATTACAGCGATACTCAACCTTTTTTTTCCCTGGGCCGCATAGTAGCTATTGCCACAGCTTGCGGGCCGCAATCTAGGTGAAGTATATAAAAACACACACACACACATATATATATATATATATATATATATATATATATATATATATATATATATATATATATATATTTATTATATATTATTTTCAAAATACTGATTTCAAAAATGTATAATACTTGCGCAAAATTTCGGTCAAATGCTTTTTAAATGCATTAATTTTTTTAATCCTTGGAAAACTAATAAGAATTTTGGAAAAATTTAAACGCAGAATAAAATATTAGTGCAGGGTCGTGCCGTGCTATGATACGGCGAGGCAGTCGCATCAGGCGGCAACACAAGGGGGCGGCATTATCAGTAAAATAAAAAAATGTCAGGCTGTGTAAAAATGTCAGAAACTATAGACAAAACGAAAAGTTACGGATAATATGGCTAATGACCAAATGAAAATTTAATGCAATTGCAGAAAAGTTCATATGTATTGCATTTCCAGCTGAAAATGAAATTCAAGCCAGGATAAAACAGCGAGCCAGGATAAAAATTCATTGGTTTTTTGGAAATCTGAGAAAACTAATAAGTATTTTTGAAAAATTTAAACGCAGAGTGAAAGATTACATTATTATCGAGGGCAGAAAGTCCCTGAAAATTTCTATGTCTATTTTAATAAGTTACAGAGGTGAAAGGACAGAGAAAATTTATTGTGATTTTTAATTTCAAATATTTCATTTAAAAGAAATTTTTTATTTATTCTAAGGGAATTTAGGATATGGGTAATAATGAAATATTTTATTCTGCAATTAAAGTTTTCAAAAATATTAATTAGTTTTCTCAGGATTTGATAAAAAATGCATTTAAATAGCATTGGATCAAGATTTTGCGCATACCCTCCTAATAAAAATGAAAGTTAAATTTCAATCATATTTAAGAGGCGGCATACAATAATGTAATCTTTCATTCGGCATTTAAATTTTTCAAAAATACTCATTAGTTTTCTCATGATTCAAAAATTAATGCATTTAAAAATCATCTGACCAAAACTTTGCCTAAGTATGATACATTGTTGTAACCAGTATTTTAAAAGCGTTTAAATGAGATGTCACATGATGTCTGTACTTTCCAATTTAAAACAATCATTGTTACGACTACGATAAATTATTTATATCATTTTTTTTTTCAAAAGAGAAATATACCCAATATTATTTCTATCATAGACGGACATCCATCTGTGCATACACATACCAACTTTTTAACGTCAATGCTATTTTTTCCAAAAACGTACAAATAACATTAATGTAATCACTTCCTTTGGTATGACCTTTCATCGGATGAAATTTGAGAAAATCTTTACGAATTCCATAATCCTCAGTACAGTACCGTACAAAAAGGGAACATTGTGAAGTTGATGAAATATCAGTGTTTAAATCAAATGCTAAACTCCAATATTTACAATTCTTCAAGTCGTCGATGATATGATTAAAAATATGTTTCGAAATATCTTCAATTCGCCTGACGCACGTGGAATCTGAGAGTTGTAGTTGTCTGATTTGTGATATTATCTGACTTTTATTGCTGAACTTCTCAAATAGAATATTTGAAGCATTTATAGAGCATTTCTTTACAATCTCAGCGTCAGTAAATGGCTTCATATGTTTTCCTAATAAATAGCAAATTTCGTAGGACGCTCTCGTTACTGATACATCTTGGGACATTGAAACTGCCTTTATATTTTGCTGCCACTGTAACGACCTTTTCAAGACGCAAATTTTTGCGTCTGGGAAACTATCCAGGAATTGGAAATGCAAACATAGCATAACAACGTCAACTTCGGGAAATCCCCGGTTGAACACCACAGGCGCGGACCTTTTTATATTTATAAATTAGACATTGTTGATTAGGGAAATTTTTAGTAATAGTTTTATAATGAATTACAAAAATATCTAATATAATCGTATTTTTTAAATTTTTGGATTTTATAAATACATATGTAGATAAAGTCAAAAATTCTTAGTTAGCCTTCGGGCCGCATAAAAAACGCCCAAGGGCCGCAGGTTGAGTATCACTGGTCTATTACATGCTCTGTCAAAGCACAAGATGGTTTCTTAATGCTGTATACTACATTTGTTTTATCTGATTTGTCTATAGGATACTTAGTTGTGGAATATAAAGATGAAATGGTTTTGATGTTCTTGGTTGCTATTTTTATATTGTCAATAACCTTTAGTGTTTGTATTAATTTAGGTGTTAATGATGGTATAAAAGGTAGTGAATGATAATAGATGTTCTGAGATTTAAAAAAAAATGGTGTTATTTATATTAATAATATTAGAAAAAAAGCATCCTATGTAGCATATCTGGAGGATAAGAGTTTTCAAAAAATATTTTGTAACAATTGAAGATCTTCTTGTAGATAATCTGGATGAGAAAGCTTTAAAACAGGTTCTTTTAATCCTGTTATAAGGTTCATTTTCATCTTATTTGGATGATGAGACTAATAGCTTATAAATCTATTACTGCATATGGGTTTTCTGAACCATCTGGTTTTCAACATATTGTCTGTATGTATTTCTTACAATTCTCATGTCAAGGAATGGTAGAGAATTATCTACCTCTTCCTCAACTGTAAATTGTATATGTTGATGAAAATGTTGACTGTTTCAGGAATTCTGTGTTTAGGAAGTGCCAAAACTAAATTATCTACATATCTTTTAATAAACGGAATAAAAAAAGTGCAATTGTTGAGATACAATTGTACGATGCAATTGATACAATATTGTTTAATTTAGATACTAGATAATTTGCTTTTTGTTGCAAAGTTAAATTTAATTTTAAATTAAACAATAAGAAATTTATTGATAATAAAAAAGCAAAAGAACTCAAAATTTATAATTCTATTGCACCACGGTTTTATGCTCTACCTAAAATACATAAACCAACTTTATCTATGAGACCACATGTTTCATCTTTATGCCCTCCTAATGGACCAATAGCACAGCTCCTCACTGACATCTTAACTAATGCTTATAATTTAAACAACAATTTTTACATTAAAGATTCATTTGATTTTAGTTCTTTCATTAATAATTTCCAATTACCACAAAATTATGTTTTAGTTAGTTTTGATGTAACATCTCTTTTTACCAATTTACCTTTAGATTTAATCATAAGGATTGTTGAAAAACATTGGAATGAGATTTCGCAACATACTAATATTGACGTATCACATTTTAAAACACTCATAACTTTGTTTTTCATTCTAATATTTTTGTATTTAATGGTGTCTTTTATAAACAAATTTTTGGTAGTCCTATGGGATCTAGTCTTTCACCCATTCTAAGTAGCTATGTCATGGATGATGTTATCAGTGATTGTATCAACAATTGCACTTTTTTCATTCCGTTTATTAAAAGATATGTAGATGATTTAGTTTTGGCACTTCCTAAACACAAAATTCTTGACACAGTCAACATTTTCAACAATCATAATTAACATATACAATTTGCAGTTGAGGAAGAGGTAGGTAATTCTAGATAGATAAGACGAAGCCGTCTTCTTTAGCAATACCATACATCGCCACCATACAATCTTCGTTTAAAAATTAGTTCGCCACTATACAATCTTCGTTTAAAAATTGGTTCGCCGATTATTCTGCTACACAATTTAAACCCACCCAGACTATACAACACATCACCAAAAATATTACTGAAGAAACCGTTTTGATCGGAAAATTTAAAGCTGTTGCCACGTATCCCAATGATACCATCAGATACCACAATAACATTCTAAAAGGCGTCTATTCCCTGTTCGATTAGCATTCGCGATAAGAGAATCCATGTCTCTCACAGTCAGTTACATATTACATGCTTAGGTGTTGGTAAAACATCAAATTTATAAATGCCGCAGGATTCAATCCTGGGGCCATTGCTTTAGAATGTACAATAATATTTTGGAGACGGACCTGGGCATTAGTGTACAGGTACTGAACACCTGGTGGTGCACAACGAAAACTGGTCAATCATGCATAGAGGGAGCCGAGCCCTCAACAAAGATGGAAAGCAGGGACCTCATTCTGGCGCTGAATAGACTAAAGCCATTGTAATGATTTTATTTTTAATTTATTTAGTTTTTTTTAATTTACAGTTGTTTAACAATTTTTAAACATTTACATTTTAATTCATTCACACTCACACTAAAAATACAATAATTTATAATATATTAATTAAACTTTTTCAATAAATTTTTGATTCAAACTATGTACAACTAAATTTAAACACAATAATTAAAAGTTTATTACATTGTTAAAGTAATCTCCATGTTTCTCTAGAAATTAGTGTGGATTTATCGATCATTCTTTGCCTTTGCTTGTTTAGTTTTATAAATTCTACTTTTCGGTTATTACCATTAGGAATAATCTTTAGGATTCAAATCGACTGAACGAGGAGGCCATTCAATACTACCTAATCCTCATCAGACATTCCGAATCCATCATCCGAGAAATGTCTGATCTAAATAACGCCGAATATTTACACCACAACGAGTTCGAGGCCAGTCTTGCTGAAACCATATCTCATAAAAATTGGTTCCAGATTTGTTTTTCAGAGCAGATAAAATTTCATTTCTAAGTAGTATTTTATAATTATCACTTGTTAAAATTCCTTCTATAAAAATGGCCTAATTAACTAAGTACCCACTATACCCGCCCATACATTTAGTTTTTGTGGACTTTGAGTATAGTTTTCACGTATCCAGTGTGGATTTATCTCACTCCAATAGCTTAAATTTTGTCGATTTACATTCCCACACAGTGTAAATATTGCTTCGTCGGAAAAACATCTTTTTAACGAAGTTCTCGTCGGTTACAATTTTATTCATCATTACCTCACTAAACTGTAATCTATTGTCGTAGTCATCTTCATTTAATTCTTAATTAAATCCAATACACGCAAGACTGAAGAATGACCTGCATCATATATTTGTGCAGGTCTTCCTGAGAACGAATGTGGAGCTTAAACGAAACTTTGCATTAAACCTAAAGTTTTATGTAATTTGTAACAGTTTTTGGTCTATCTATTCAAATGCCACCCTTTGGAAAAGATATCGCATCTGAGATGAAATGCATCTAGGTCGTGAAGGTAGCGATATTCAAACGGTAGATTAAACTCATAGCGAATTGGCGTTCTAGGTTTCAGGTAGAAAGATGATGTTAGGGGATTATAAGAAATTTAATATACAGTCCAATAGTGGAAAATACAGTCTGTGATAATAATCTTCAATTTTGTTACTAACTTAATGCAGGATTCTGAAACCCCTACCTCAAAAATAGCGAACCAAACTATATTTTTGTTGCTAAGTTTCTGCAATGCTTTAAATTTGACAATGTGGTTTACTTAGTTTCCCAGATTCCGAAACACGTTCTCAGCTTTCCATTGAAGATTTCAATTCTATCTTGATCATCAAAAACTAACATTGGGTTAAAACCTCAGAGCAAGTTTTTCTCAAAATATATCTAAACTACTGCTATAGTAGTAGATGTAGCGGCTTATTCTATACTCTTTTATAGGGATTCGATATTCAGATTAACATAAGTTTTCAATAAGATAAACACCAGACAGACATATTTAAACTGGAGCCAAACTTTTAACCTGATTTCATATTTAAATATTGTACGGGATGTTCTATTATTCACGTAATGTTAGATATAGTTCTGTTATGATTTGTGATAATGTCATAAATGTATATCATTCTAGTAATTAATACACATTGTAAATTTTTTGGTTAGCAATAAATGGAAATTTGTCAACTATTGTTTAATTACGAACACTTTGAATGTTACAATTTCGTAAAGAATCTGGGGTTGACCTACAACGAGGTGAATAAGTGAAATCAACATATTATAGTACTTAAGGTATGATTCCGACAACGACGGCAGTTGCAATTGCCGCCGCGGCAGACGTCATATCTTTTCAGTATTAATTTGTATGAGACTGATTCCGACATCTGACTGCACCTGCCGCCCGACAGAACTGCTTGACGGTACACAGTAGTGCAGTTAGTGCCGTCGTGAAGTTGGACAACATGGAAGTATTGAAAAACGAAGAAAGTGACTATTTCCGAAAGTGATTATGTTTCGAAAGATTTACGCGGTTAGTACAATTAAACCTAGAGCTAATATTAATACTATTACAGGAATTAATATTGAACTTAACAGTCTTCCCGGTTGAACCGCGTCGATTATCATTGCGCCGAGCTTTCGACATACTCTTTGATGTCTTCTTCAGGGCTTACGAGGTCTCAGTTTCCCGAACCCCCAGACACTAATACCTACACTGATCACTAACCAACGCAGTGCAAACGAAAAATGGAATTAAGATTACGAACATGGAATACCCGAACTCTGCATCGAGCTGGAGCACTCACATATTTACTTGACATAGTGAATACATATAAAATAGTTGTTTTACCACTGCAGGAGATGCGGTGGACAGGAACCAGCATAAGAGAGATAAGAGAACCCATTCCATATATTATAGCTGCAATGAAAGTGAACAAAAAGGGAGTGGGACTTATTGTAAACCAAAGAACAAAATGCCTTATTATTGACTTTAAAGCCTAAAATCAAAGAATGTGCTATTTGCACGTAGGAAATTATTTAATTACAGTTTGATCAATGCATATGCCCCGATTTATGACAAACCAGAAGAAATAAAAGAACAGTTCTTCGAAGACCTAGAGTAAGGCCACAAAAGATGTCCCAGAAATGACACACATTGTGTTAGGTGACATGAATGCAAGAATAGGACGAGAGCGAGTTTTCATGACCACTATAGAAAGTCGTAGCCTACACATCAGTAGCGATAATGGATTACGAGTAATAAACTTAGCAGCTGCACTAAACATGACAGTAGACATCTTGAAAACAATAGTATACACAAAGTAACCTGGACCTCTCCTGATAGAAAAACAACGAGTCAGATTGATCCCGTCTTAATAGATGCAAGACATAAAACATACGTAATAAACTACAGAAGTTATAGAGGCGCACACATAGAATCATTGCTTAGTGATGTCAGCATTAAGGGCTAGAATTTCAAACATCAACAAAGAAAATAAAATGGATAGAAAGAAATGTAACAATTGCAGAACGGTACTCAGAAAACATCACCACAGGCTAATGAATCAAAATGCAAATGAAGGCCAGAAATATATGGACTGCTATTGGACCAGAACAAAGGAAGAAATTCAAGCAGCAGCAAAAGATGAAATAGGAACAGAAAATTGTGCCCGTAAAATCATTGGTTTGACATTGAATGCAAGAATGCAACAAAAGAAAAAAAATGAAGCCTGCAGAATGATGCGAACCCGACGAACTATACATAAAAGAAAAAATGACACCACTTAAGGAACTTAAATATATAGAAAACCTAAACTGAGAGAAATAATCAACAGAAAGGAATTGAATTCAATCACAAGCTAATGCAAATGTCCGAATGGTGACCAACAATGATATATGTATTGAATATATGGGTGGAATACTTTAACCAGGTACTTAATGCATCTTTGAAGTTAAAGACGCAGTAAAAAAACTAGTCAGAAACAAATCATCCGGAATAGATAATCTACCATCTGAACTATTTAAAGAAGGTGGCCACGAAACCATAGTAGCAGTACAGCTCTCAGTGATTGGAACACTTTGCAACATAAACAAAAAAGGAGATATCTTTGAATGCTCCAACCATAGAGTAATAACGCTTCTAAATGCAGCTTATAGAATATTTTCCACAAAACTATGGCACCATATGCAGAACGAATAGTAGTAAAATACCCGGCTGGTTTCCGAAGGGGTAAATCGAATTGCAATTCACCAGATTGCACCTAAGACAAATTTTAGAAAAGACACTGGAATGTGGCATAGGTACTATTCACATATTTATAAACTACAAAGTAGCCTACAACTAGGACTACCAAATCGATTGGCAAATTTAACAAAACAAACTCTCTTCTTCTGCTCGCTTTTCGCCGAATTCGAAAATATAGTTCCTCTACATCAAAAAGTGGTAGGTACCAATTTGTATAAACAATTTTTTTAAAAAGAAATTTTCAAATTTTAATATGAAGAGTACACTGCAAAAAGGGGTAATGTCAGTTTTTTCATTTTTCGAGTTAAGGTTGGTAACAATTACTCTGAATATAGCAGATTAATCTCAAATATCGTTCAAGGCTGAAACGGTGACAGTCACTGATAAAAAAGCATTTAAATATAATGTGGTACCAAGAAAAAACGGGGATAGTCAGAACGAACCTTTGCGGGAATTTCATCGCTACGATAACACTGAAGAGAACTGCATGTTTTTAGCAATGCCTGATTTCGTTGTTTCGTTCGTAGATCGACGTCACTAAATGATTACGTCAGGTCCACGACATTATGAATTATCTTTACTAACTATTCTGATGTTTTGGCAACGCTGTGGGTTTCTGATGACGCAAATCTTGAATGACGTGCAAGCTTTTTTATCTGAAAAATGCTATACCCACCCTTTCATGCATACAGAAAGGTACCCTGGTGTCGGACTAAAAGCGAACTGCTTGAAACAATTTTCACACTTATATCGTTTTTCTCCAGTGTTCCTTGAAAGGTGCTTGAAATGAGAACTGTTTAAAACAAATTTCACCACCAGTTTGAACTCTCATGTGTTCTTTTCAAGATTCTTTAAAAGTGAACTGTTTAAAACAAATTTAACAGTTTATGGTTTTTCTCCAATGTGGATTTTCAAATGTTTTTTCACATTACATGCTGCTGTAAACTGTTTAAAACAAATTTCACACTTGAATGGTTTCTCCCCAGAGTGAACTCTCAAATGTGTTTTTAAATTATACGCTTGTGTAAACTGTTTAAAACAAATTTCACACTCGTATGGTTTTTCTCCAGTGTGAACTCTCACGTGTTCATTGAAAGCTGCTTGAAAAGCGAACTGCTTAAAACAAATTTCACACTTGTATGGTTTTTCTCCAGTGTGGACCCTCAAATGATTTTTCACAGTACATGCTGTTGTAAACTGTTTAAAACAAATTTCACACTTAAATGGTTTTTCTCCAGTGTGAACTCTCATGTGTTCTTTTAAAGATTCTTTAAAACCGAACTGTTTAAAACAAATTTCACACTTAAATGGTTTTTCTCCAGTGTGAACTTTCATGTGTTGATTCATTAAAGACTCTTTAAAAGCGAACTGCTTAAAACAAATTTCACACTTAAATGGTTTTTCTCCAGTATGCACTCTCAAATGTCTTTTTAATGTAAACGATGCTCTAAACTGTTTAAAACAAGTTTCACACTTGTACGGTTTTTCTCCAGTGTGTGTTTGCAAATGATATTTCAAACTGTCTTTTTGAGAAAATTGCCTAAAACAAATCTCGCACTTGTACGGTATTTCTTTGGTGTGCACGTTTAAATGTCTATTCAAATAACTTGTTGTAGTAAATTGCCTTAAACAAATTTCACACTTATAAGGTTTTTCTGCATTGTGCACTCTCAAATAATGTATTTTCAAACTACCTTCTTCGCTAAACTGTTTAAAACAAGTTTGACACTTGTACGGTTTTTCCCCAGTGTGCACTCTTAAATGTGTTTTCAAATTACATGTTTTTGTAAACTGTTTAAAACAAAATTCACACTTGTATGGGTTTTCTCCAGTGTGAATTCTAGTGTGTTGATTTAAAGATTCTTTAAGAGCGAACTGCTTAGAACAAGTTTCACACTTGTACGGTTTTTCTCCAGTGTGAACTTTTGTATGTTCATCCAAAAATGTTTTATCTATAAACTGCTTAAAACAAATGTCACACTCGTAAGATTTTTCTCTGGTGTGCACTCTCAAATGTCTTTTTAATCTAAACGCTTCTCTAAACCGTTTAAAACAAATTTCACACTTGTAAGATCTTTCTCCAGTATGTATCATCAAATGTTGTTTCAAATTACTTGTTCGAGAAAACTGCTTTAAACAAATTTCACATTTGTAAGGTCCCGGTCCAGTCTGAACATTTATATATTGATCTATTGTTTTTACTTTGTCCGTTCCTTTCGTTTTCCCCAAATAGTGTCCTTTATGTGATGAATGTTCAAAAAATGTTTCCATAATTTTTATTTTGTTCTCTTCCTGCATACAACCTAAAAGACAAAGGAACTATAAACATTTTGATACAAAGAAAATATTAATGCAAAATGTAATAAAGTAAAGCTTTATTATATTTTTGCTTTTATTACATACAACCTGCAACAAAATTTTAGCTAATAAAATAAATAGTTTTACTCGTCTATGTTTCTATCTTGTAGATTTGTAAGATGAGACCTTATTTTAAAGAAGCCTTTGTCAGTCCTTAGTAAACACTGTCTGAAGTAAATGCAGGGTGGATCGAGTGCCTGTGATTAGCACAGCCATTCCCCAGCCCGGATAAAATGAGGAGGATGATTGTCAAGATTAGCAACCTACCAATTGTAAAAATTAATACTGCTCAAATAAACGATGTATCGGAACTAGACTGATAATGTAAATATGACCACAACAAGAAATATGGAGAAAGAGAAAAATATCTAAAACCTAGAGCAAAGAAATAACCAAGTTATTTCTTTTGCTCTCTACAAGAAACAAAAAAAAGTAAAAGGGCAACCAAAATTAGGTGAATATATACTAATCTACACTGGAGCCGCAAAACAAAACATGGCAAAAGATACCAAAATCACAACAGAGTGTCAGTATGTATCAGAAAGGATTATAACAAAAATAAGAATGGAGAAGGAAGACCTGAACATTACCGGAGAATACAGCCCAGAAAATAACAAGCCCTATCACTAAGGGAAACATTTTATGAAGAATTACGACCAGGTACTCCAGAAAGCAAAGTCCTATACAACAGCATAACGTCTGACCCAATCGCTACGGTAAATTGAGTAAAACATGGCGGTGTTTCATCTCCCCCGCTATTCAGCATTGTATCTGGACTCCGTTTTAACAGAAATTAACACTGGGGATTAATACACAGCTTGGAAGATCTAGATTATGCCTATAATACACATAACGCCAATAATGTCTCTTAGCACATACAAAACAGGATATGTAACTTCAAGTAAAAATATTACAAGAAGAAACAAAGAAGATTGGTCAAACATCAAAACCAAAACAATACAATTTTTCCATCAGAAACAACCAACCTATTGGCATAAACAACCAGAAAATTAGAGAGAAATATAGAGAATTATCAGCGGACAAAGATAACAAACTAATAAAAAACTGGATACATTTAGAACTAAAAGGACAAACTATTTTCGGTCAGTCATATCAAACGGTTCTTCGATATTATAAGATGAGTATTATGGATTACAGTATTCTTTAAATAACAATTAAATTAAATTCAACGTTGTACCCTTTTCAATGATCTTATTTTAATTTTTAATCTAGAATTAGGTATATAAATAAAAAATAGGATCTTATAGGCATTTATAGGTTGTTATTTTATGCAAAAAGATGTAATGTCATTTGTCAAAATAAAATATTTCTTTAACATGCAAAGAATATAGACGCATATATTGTAACGATGTGTATCGCCTCTGTCCGGTTACCGCTTTGTACGTACGCACTCCCACCGATGTGCGCTAGATGTTATTTAAGACCTACGACGATATAAAACAGCGTACGCCACAAGAGAGAGTCTACCTAATAAACATAATCAACGCGATGCTAAGATTCAAGAAATTCCCAAACAGATGGAAAGAGGCCCATGTCATCATGTTACCAAAGTCCGGAAAAGACAGCACACTCCCGCAAAACTACAGGTCAATAAGCTTACTACCTGCAATCAGCAAGATTGTAGAGAGAATAATACTCAGGAGACTCCAAGCCGAAACAGATAGACTAGACATAAAACCCGAAGCCCAATTCGGCTTTAGATCAGAACACTCCAGTGAGCTAAAAATACTCAGATTAACAGAGTACAGCTGGATTCAACGATAAACAATTTACAGGAGCTGCCCAAAGTAGACACCTAGAGCACCAAGTCGCCAAACTGAGCCGGGGCTCAGAACGGAGACTTGAGGCCCAAATAAGCAATTTTAGTTCGCAGATAAGCCACTTTAAGGTAACAGAAATATAGCGACAATGCGCTGTACTGAGTTTTGCATTCGGTTAGGAAACCATTTTGGGATTCTATTACCCAGGATCTCCATATGAAGAACGTTTGTCTGATAGTTGTGCATCTATAGCGCATCAGAGTACTGTAGGGGGGAAAGGGATGGTCTGGAGCATTGGAGCGCGGTGGGGTGACTCCTGTTTTTACTCGAGTTAACACACCTCGCTTCTATGAATTGTTACACCCGAACGTGATTCTTAGGGGTGAACATTTCTTGCTTGCTTGCTTGCAGAGAGTCGAGTTTCGCTATAGTAGTGATCCAGTGAGAACTTCAGCAGACCTCTGGGTATTGACTGAAGGCCACCTGTCCGGAATTTCGTCAAAGTATTGATCTGATAACAATTCCACTGGGTCTAGGGTATTGACTGAAGGCCAACCGCTTTTGCTAGAGTGTTGATCTAGTGGCAGTTCCATAGACGGTCTTGGAATATTAATCTGAGACAGACATAATCTTTCCTGTGACTGAGTACTGATTCATCGCCGAACCGAGTGTTGATTGGCCGGTTCCATCTCTATTTCCGCGTGTATAATCGTTGATGTCAGCAATAATTTTCTTTTGGGCATGAAGTATTTTGTACTAAAGGCGGCTGTCATCTTACGGTTTCAATAACTCTGTAAGTAACTGTAAATTAAATTAAAATAGAATAAAATAAAATAAAAACAAAATACAGCAAAATAGAATACGATAAAATATAATAAATTAAATTAAAATAAAATTAATTAGAATAAAATGAAAAACAGTAGAATAAAATAAAATATAATAAAATTAAAACTTCGATTGAAAGAATATTAACAGACCCGAAGTATGCTAATTCAATTGTTCAGTCTGTCATTTGGTCTTTTATTTTATTTTATTATCAAGACACTGTTTTTTATGTAGCTTAATATATATTGAATGTGTAAGTCCATTTCAAATAGGTAAAAGAAATAAGAATAAGACTTACTCACAAACTATTTCATTCTACAACCAACGACCGGTTGCCAATATGCTAATATTATATGCTTGTGATTATTAATATGAATTAAATTGATTAAAGCAGACAAAGCAAAAAACAACAAAAAAGTTTATTAAATTATTTGGGCACAAAATAATCTAATAAATTGAAATTAAATTAGTATATAACCAATAAATACGACTTGAATGCCGGTACAAGAATTATTATTTAGTGATTTAGAAAACATAGTTCATACTATCCTGGATTAGCTGGTGATGGGTGATCATCGGTTTTATTGTAACTGTTCGACAATTAGAGAGGAAGTTCTTGAGGGGTGAGATAATAACAAATAAACTGGGAAGTAGGTATTGTGTAATTGTTTGTTGAAAAGAATGTGATGTGTTATTTAAAAGTTATTTATATTTATTCAATAGGTATATTTTGGAAATTTGTGTTAATTTATTGAAATATTTATTAAAAATAGACATCTATATGATAATAAATAAAGGTAGATGTATAAGTGTATAAGTGTGCAATAAGATGTATGAGTGTGCAATCTCATATGTGTTTACAAGTGATTTTTTTACCTTTTAATATATATGTATATATATATATATATATATATATATATATATATATATATATATATATAAACACAAAACTCAAATATTTGGGTGTGCAGCGGAAGATAGGACAAAAAAGTATTCTTTTAGTTAACCAAGCTTTCGCAAATCTTTATTTGCATCATCAGGGTGCTACAATACACAGAATTAGTACAATATACAGAGTAAGAATCACTTTGCATCTTACACTAATTGAGGTTAGTTGTCTTGATGTTTATTAAATGAAACTGGCAACTCATTTGACCCCTACAAACGATGGCGAAAACTATCCAAAATTTGATTTTAAAAACGTTCTTTAACATACATATTTAACACACTTTAAATTATGTTAAAATAATTACAAAACATGTACGTAGTCACAATATAAAAGTTTTTTGGTTATAAATATTCTTATCAGAAACAAAAGAATTGGTTGTGAATTCGTTACTATCAACTTAAAACGACAGAACGTTAGATATTAAATGATAACGATGTAATAGTAATAGTATACCTGATAGAAGCTGAAATTGCTTGAAAAAGAAAAGACAAAAAGACTTATTTTAGAAATAGGAGAGATATTGTATATCTCATATACAGGGTGGTCCTTAAGTAATTGTACAAAAAGAAACCGCAGATTCTGTACTTTAAAATATTAAGATTTAAGCCAACTTGCTTTAGTAAAATGTTAGATATTAGGAAAGATACAGGGTGTTAAAGTGGAAATTTAAAATTTTATTTTTCGCTATAACTTTCATGTGTTGTACTTGATCAGCGTTGATTACAAGCATTTATCGCTTTTTCACTATATATATATATATATATATATATATATATATATATAAAATATACTTAATTAAACAGATGAAAAATAGAGTAATTAAACTATCAGATCCATCATTTCATACAAAAAACCTACAAATCCTTCTGAAACTTTTTATTTCAAATTCTTATCCAACACCATTAGTAAATAAGATTTTGCTTAACACTATCCATAACGAAGATACTTCATCTTCCATCGTGACTAACAATGCTGATCCTGATGTCTTAAGTAGGAACCCAGTCTCGGATACTCCTATCAATAAATATTTTTCATTACCCTATTTCAGAGATATCACTTCGGGGTTAACAAGGATTCTAAAAAGTTTTGAAAATAGCTCTTCGAATAATAATAATAACATTAAACTTAATGTGGCTTGTAGAACAGCCCTAACAATTAATAATCTTTATTCGAAGATAAAAGATAAGACTCCCATAGATAGGCTTAGTAATATTGTCTACAACATTCCATGCCTCTCTTGCAACAATTCCTACATCGGCCAAACATCTCAATTATTGAAATCACGTATTACACTACACAAAAGTGATTCTCGACTTCACACTGACCGCTGTGCATTAGCCAAACATGTCCATTCCACTGGTCATCACATGGACTATACGAACACTACAAT